GTCAAACAAAGTAGGGTAAATATTTAGTTATGCTCAGATACGCTCATATTTGCTCATATTTTTATTCTTCTCCAATATGGAGGTATTTATATAAGTACAATCCTAAATAAAATAGGAAATAAATCTAAATTACAATAGAAAATATATCTAAATTACAATAGGAAATAAATCTCTATTACAATAAGACTAAATAATAATTGGTAAGTAACCAAAATTCTAATGAAATAAGGAACCAAAATCCTAACTAAGTAAGGACTCGCCAACATCTCAACCATATAAGCAGCAGCAGTAGCAATTGAATTTGGACATCTCTTTGACACTTCGGTTTACATGACAGGTGCTTAATTATCTTAAACACCCCACCAGCCATATCATTGTCATCATCCAACAGTTGTTCAAGCTCATCCCTTACCTGCAACAAGTAATACAGGAACACCTATTACGTACCTAGTATCCCAAAATAGCAAAATAGAAAAGGTAAGGTGCAAGAGCTAAAAGAAATTGTAAAAGCTAGTTTAGGAATAAATTAAAGGAATGGGGAGAGTGAAGCTTCAGATCAAGAGGATTGAGAATACGACTAATAGACAAGTCACTTTCTCAAAAATTAAAAGCGGACTTATCAAGAAAGCCTATGAACTCTCTGTTCTCTGTGATGTTGATGTAGCTCTTATCATGTTTTCTCCATCCGAGAGACTCAGTCTCTTTTCTGGCAATAAAAGGTAATCATCTGGCTGATTCTATATACATGTGTTAGTTGAAGGGAGAAGAGAGGCTTAGAGAATAGTTAGTTTACTATTTAGGACAATATTGTTTATGTGGAATAGAGAGCTTTTGAAAGGGTAACAAGATAATTTTATTTTATTAAGGAGGGTACAAGGCTTTAGAATTGGATACAAGAGTTGGCTGGGAGTTAGACAAGCTGTGTCTTCAGTTTGCACTTGATTACACAATTGGGCTGCTATTGCTATATATAGAGTAGCAATAACCAACTTAAAGATGACAAATATCTAGTGAAGTCGGTTATTGCATAGTAACCGACTTCTCAAACTGTTTTCCAGCCACAAGTTATAATATAAGTCTAGAATAGTCTAGTTACAATACATTAAATAATTAATAGGATGTTTCTAGAGTAGAGCTCAAATTTGACTTGTCTACTTTCACTCAATTTATCTAGATTTTTCTATATCATTCAAGATTTTTCTTTATTATTCAATGTGCATTACTTTTAACAACATGATTAATCTTTTATAAGCTGCTCAATATTGGTAAAGCTAGACAAGTATTATTTTATTTTACTAGTTCACTAATAATAAATTAAAAAATGATTATTTTTCCTGTTTCTTTTGTTGTTTTGTGAAGCATTGAAGAGATTCTGGCATGCTATGTTAATCTTCCTGAGCATGAACGGGGACGGTAAGGAGATGATCTGATTGTGTATGAACTTGTCATCATCAGTGTAGTGCTTGTGCTAATGGCTTTTCTTTTCCTCCTCTTGTTCGATGCTTGTTGTTCTTGGTTTCTATCAACGTTCTTTACAATTATAAAGTCTCCATAATCGAGAGGTAAGCAGCTAGTGCTAAGTACATATATATAATATAATATAATATATACATATATCATTCCGAAGAGCAGTGGCAGTGCCCCATGTTATCTTATGAACTTCTATGTTTTTCTATATCAATCTTTACTTGTTTTAATTATTCATTTGAGTGTTTTTTACCCCCCCCCCAAAAAAATTATTATTCATTTGAGTGTATTTAAATGTGCAGTTTCTCCAACGCGTTCTTGTTAAGTTGATGAGGGAAGCTGATCAAACATATCAAGCAACTAGGTCATGGCTCTGTTCTTTTATTAATGTGAGATGTGAGATGTTCTCATTTGGAGGGTTATTAATATTGTCAGTACTTATATTTGAAGATCAGATTCGCGGCAGCATAATGGAAAGTAGGATATATAAACATTTACGTTCTATTTACAATTTTCCATGTCATTTTGATGGATGCAGCCGAATCAGTACTGATTCTAATCAACTCGAGGTACCTTATGAAATAGAATTACTTTGTCAAAGCACATGCAAGCAAGCAGTTGATTGATTGGCAGCTTAATACATTCTTTAATTACCATAAAATTGATTTATTTCATATCAATTACAGGAGATTCAACAAGAAATCCTACAAGTAAAAGAAATGGAAAATCAACTGAGGTGCAATTTAATTCTTTGCACCTTGCTGAAACCCTAAACTCTCCTATATGTTTTTAAATAATTAGTTTCAATTAGCCAGCATCACATGCATTCATCTTATAAGCTAAGTGTCCATTGCAGGATCTTTGAAGGAGATCTCTCTGAAGTCACGACATTGCATGTGGCTGAGTATCTCGACAGCAGATCCTTGAGGAAACTCTAAAACGTTTGCATGTGCGCAAGGTATGTATATACATATTCTATTGTCATTATAATAATATATATCAATCCCTGCTGAACTTATAACTACTGGACAATTTATGGCAAAGCAGCAAGTCCTTAGGAGTATCATTCTTCTGCTACAGTACTACAGGTGTGCTAGAAGATCTTTAGAAGAAAAAAAAAACATGTGTATGTCGAAATATATATATATATATATGTGTGTGTGTGTGTGTGTTGAATTGTGTATGTAGGTACATGCACCTCCAGCTACAACAAATGTAGATGAATTTGTTACAGCAAGTCCACACAATATGCTAGTTGACTGGCTTCCACAAAGAGACCTTCAGAGCCTCAACTTTTTGAATGCAAATGGCTTTCTTCCCCCAAGGTTATTAATTAGCTATGGAAATGAATCAATTTCTCCTTTTAAATCATATTTTTTTAATAGTTTAATTTTGTGGGAATTCAGAGATGAGGCGCGAAGTAGACTTGAAGTCATAGCAGCACCCCAGTCATCAACGCTCCTTCATGGCATAAATCTTGAAGATCATATGAACCCAGGCAGTGGTTTAGACGATGAGAATAACAACACTACTTCACAACATCCAGAGCTGGGACAAGTTATGGATATCAACTTGTCCTCGTGGAAAGAGTTCTACCCGATAGGTACTTGTTTTGCATATAATAATGTTCCTTAAAAAAAAATTAATTTTCTAGAAAGTTGCAACTCATGAGGAGGAAAAAGATATATATAGTCCATCCAAATTTAGTCATACAAGGACAAAAACGCATGCATGTGTCAGTGCTGTATTTTTATTATTAAAGTAAGAGTAACCATGGTTGACTAATTAGATATGTATATTTATTTCCAGGTAATGAACTGTTTCCTCCACCACATCCGAGAGGAGGAGCACTCCAGGAAAAAAGTGCCTTAATGCATTTCCTCCTAAATCAACTGTTCGTTTTCCTTGAAAAAAGACCTAATATAGAGTCAATGTACGTGAAAAGGTACATAAACAAATAAATAAATAAATAACAAGTAACCCTTGTTGCTATCTAAACCAATAGACTTACAATTATATGAGCTTCCAATAGGATACTATATAAAGGCCTCTTAGCTAGCTAAACCAACCAACCAAGACATTTTCTCATGCAACTTTTGAAGCACTCGAATTATATTGCTCTGCAGTGCTAAATAAATGGCTGGAACTGGAAATCCGAGATCTCAAAGCTTTCGCGGTCTTGGTCTAGTTCTTCTCCTCCTTCTGCTGTTGAGTTTTAGTCCTGTTGGGTAAATGGAAGCTCGGCCATTGACCAAGGAAAGAGGGACAATGGAGGGTTTGTCAGTTGGGATGATGAAGAGTTCAGGGCCAAGCAAAGGTGGTAGAGGACACACAGAGGCAGGCTGCATGCTCGGATTCTACCTGATCATTCAAAATTCTAAATAAAAGTGAGGAGAAGAAACCCAAAACACTCAGAAGGACATCAAAGTAATTTAATAATCAAAATTAAACTCAACAAAGCAGCTGTCCTGTTTTGGGTTTTTTTGTATAGAAATTAAATGGTATAGGGTTTATCAATATCACTAGTTCTAACTTCTATGAATGAGTATATAACTAAATACCTCTTTAAATATTCAAATATATTTAAAAAGTATATTCACACGGTTATACTCATTTAAATATTCAGATATATTTACATCAGCTATATTCCTTGAGATTGTAAGCTATGGTGATGATGGTCTCCGTTTCATTACTTCTTTGAGAAAAAGCACCCGTCTAAATTATCATGCCATTGATGAAAGCAATTTAGATTTTCTGATATTGATTATTTTTATGTGGAAACGTTAATTCACAAGAGAAGAAACTTGTTCTCTTGTATGAAAGACAAAGGGAATGGAATAGGACTTTTTCTGATATTAATTTCTCTTCATATTAGACCTGCAGCAAGCAAAAGTGGCTTTATACAGATAGCCACCGACTCAACACATTAATAAACACAACTACCACCAAGCCTGTTAATTTTTACTATTTAAAACACCAACCAACCAAAACAGCCATAATAATAATAAAGTCTAGATTATTCTCAACAGCCATTGACGAAAATCGTCTGCAGGTTGTATTGACACGAATACGAACACGAATACAAATACGAATATAATATGACATGTTAAACAAGAAAATAACATATCAAATTAGTGTCAAACTTAGTACGCTTGTCGATCAAATAAGACGTTGCGAGTACGTGCTCCTCTGCCTTTTGTACACCAATATATGCTTCACTCGTTTTTGGTACCCTAATACTTGTTGATCAACTTTGAGATCTATGGCAAGCATCAAATCATGTGGAAGCCTAGCACATTATGAAAAAATATATTCATAAGATGATGTGTCACTGTCATTGGTGGGTGATTAGAAATGAAATCCAGGTCAGAATAGTCAACAAATCAGGAAATTGAAAGAATCCCACTAGACACCTGATCTGACCAAATCAGGAAATTGAAAGAATCCCACTAGACACCTGATCTGACCAAATCCCTGAAAGCAAAATTTAAGTTCAATAATGGCCCGTAGCACTCCAAATTTGACGAGGAGCATGTAATATATGTACCTGCAAAATTGAAGCTCAACAGGAAACCCCAAGAGATAGCTATGAATTCCCACTTCCATCTATTGCCTCAGACGTTTGCCATAATATTATGTGTTATTGTAAATATTTTTCCGACAGTAGACTCAGCCATTGCAAGCAATATTTCTACAGACAAGGAGGCCTTGATCTCATTCAAGTCAGGGGTCAATCTCCCTCCATCTTTCTGGGACCAAAACTCATCGCCCTGCTCCAACTGGACTGGAGTTGCATGCAACCAAATTGGGCAGACTCAGAGAGTTGTGTCTCTTAATCTTTCGGGCTTGGGACTTGCAGGGACCATAAGCCCCCATGTTGGTAAGTTGACAAAACTTCAAGTCTTGAATTTGGCACGAAACAATCTCCATGGTCCGATCCCATCATCCATAAGCAACCTCTCTTCCACCCTCACACATTTAAATTTAGGCACAAATAGTCTCAGTGGTACAATACCGAGTGAATTTGGTTTCCTTTATAAACTCAAGGAACTTGATCTCTCCGGTAACCAACTCAATGGGACTGTTTCCCTGTCCATATACAACATCTCTGTTGTGCGGAAGCGTCAATCGAGTGCGAGTGAAAAATAAACACAACTAGCAGGAGATAAAATGAACACAAACAACACCAACAAGAACACCAAGATTTATACTGGTTCGGCAATGCCTACATCCAGTTTGGAGACGACGGAGTATTCCACTATAATCAATGAGAACATACAACAGTGTTTATCACTCAATTTCCCAAAGACCCAAATAACCCAAGCTCACACATTTACAATAGGAAGAGAAACTGAAAATACAAAGCAAAGACAACTTGAGAGAATTTTCTTCTCTCTGCCGAATGGCTTCTTGCTGTTTCTCTCCCTCTACTTCCCTCCTTCAGCTGCTGCCATGCTTCTCAATTTATAGAGAAGCCAACGGGTGAAGGCCAGCTAGTCAAATTATGAGGCCAACTATGAAGTCAGAAAGCCAGCCAAGTTTGCATGGCTTTTGTCTCCCACGTGCTCCCATCTTCTGCCAAAGCTTCAATATTCCTCTGCAAAGGCTCTGCAAGGTTGTTATTCTCCTACAAAGCTGCTGCCACCACTTGACAGCATCCACCCACAATATTTGGTCGGCTGACACAATTCTTCCTTTGGCCATGTGATGGCTAGTGTGGCAGCCATCATGAAGAAACTATCAACACACGTGGGTGCAATTTGAGCCAATAATCAACAATCTCTTCTCTAGTTCTGTTCACTGTAGCTTCAAATCAACTGTGGGGTGAGATTCCAAGCAATATTGGTCACACACTTCCGAATCTTCTATACTTTAGAAACTGTTTTAATCTATTCACCGGAAATATTCCAGTGTCTTTGCACAATGTCTCCGGCATTCGATCAATTCGAATGTCCAACAACTTTCTTGAAGGAACGGTTCCACCAGGCCTCGGGAATTTGCCATTCCTTGAGATGTACAACATTGGTTTCAATCGGATTGTAAGCTATGGTGATGATGGTATCAGTTTCATTACTTCTTTGACAAATAGCACCCGTCTAAATTATCTTGCCATTGACGAAAATCGTCTGCAGGGTGTAATTCCAGAGTCCATTGGCAATCTCTCCAAGGTTCTCTCAAAGTTATACATAGGAGGCAACCGAATTTACGGTAACATACCAGCATCAATTTGTCAACTCAGTGGTTTAGCTTTGCTAAATGTAAGCTACAATTCAATTTCGGGTGAAATTCCATCTGAAATAGGCCAGCTGGAAGAGCTGCAAATGCTTGGTTTAGCCAGAAACAAAATGTCTGGCCTAATACCAAACTCCCTACGTAATCTCAGAAAGTTGAACCACGTTGATTTATCTGGAAATTACTTTGTTGGCCATGTACCCCCTAGTTTTGCAAGCTTTGAGAAATTGCTTTCCGTGGACTTATCAAACAATTTGCTCAATGGAACCATTCCAAGAGAAATTCTAAACCTCCCTAGTTTGAGCACCATTCTGAATTTGTCTAACAACTTTCTAAGTGGACCTTTGCCTGAAATTGGGTTACTACAAAGTGTTGTCGCTGTAGACCTCTCTGACAATGCCTTATCTGGATCCATTCCCAGCTCATTTGCAAAGTGTACAAGCTTGGAGGAGTTGTTCATGGCCAGAAATACACTCTCTGGTTCTCTTCCAAATGCCCTGGCAGAAATGAGAGGTCTTGAGATTCTAGACCTCTCCTCAAACCAGCTCTCTGGGTCCATTCCTGATGAACTTAAGGAGCTACATGCCCTTAGCTACTTGAACCTCTCCTTTAATCACTTGGAAGGAGTAATTCCCAATGGTGGAGTGTTTGTTAAAAATACCTCTAATGTCCATCTAGAAGGCAACCCAAAACTTTGCCTGCACGGGCCATGTGTGAAGAAGAGTGGCAGTCAGGGGAGAAAAATACTGGTCCTAGTACTTATCATTGCTGCTGTTCTGGCTACACTAGCAATATGTACTGTGGTTGGTTGTTTGCTTTATTTTAGGAAAAACAAAGGCTCCGGCTACGAAGCAACAAGTAGAGAAACTAGTTCTTCTGACTTATTAAATGGGAAGCATCAAATGGTCACATATGAAGAGCTACGTGTGGCAACTGGTAATTTCAACCAGGAAAACTTGATTGGAAATGGGGGCTTTGGGTTTGTGTATAAAGGGTATTTAAGAGAAGGAATTGATGTCGCAGTGAAAGTGCTTGATGTACAAATTAAAGGCTCCTGGAAGAGCTTTTTGGCGGAGTGCGAGGCGCTGAGGAGTGTGAGGCACAGAAATCTTGTTAAGCTGATCACATCATGCTCCAGCTTGGACTTCAAGAACATGGAGTTTCTGGCTTTGGTTTATGAGTATCTGAGTAATGGGAGCTTGGAAGACTGGATAAACGGCAAGAGAAAAAATGCAGATGGAGATGCATTGAACATTGTGGAGAGACTGAATGTGGCCATTGATGTTGCTTGTGGATTGGACTATTTGCATCATGATTGTGAAGTTCCAGTGGTGCACTGTGATTTAAAGCCCAGCAACATTCTCTTGGACACAGATATGACCGCAAAGATTGGAGATTTTGGACTAGCTAAGTTGCTGATGGAGAGAACAATGAGCACTCAACATTCCCTTAGCTCCACAAATTTCCTAAAGGGTTCTATTGGATACATACCCCCAGGTTAGTACTAATCAAACTGCCCTCTTTTGATTAAGTACTTTATACAGTTGATATCACTTTGGTGGTCATTACCCACTTCAAATAATTCAGAATTATTTCCACACTTGAAAAGTTATTTAGTTAGGTTCAATATTTCATGATCTTCCATCATACTAAGTTATCATTTTTTTAAAAATAATTAGTGTTTTGTGTTAAGTTCTAATTTACAGTACATGCTACATTATCGAAATTTTATGCATGGTGGTATTGATATTTGATCAATATTCATAACATCGATTAAGTATTGTTAATGTATCAAATATTGTAGATTGATAATCGGTAGCAATTAATATCACCATGTAGTTATGCTGACTTTGAGATTGAACTACAATGTAGAGTATGGGTTTGGACAAAAACCATCGACAGCAGGAGATGCATACAATTTTGGTGTAATGCTGTTGGAGCTCTTTACTGGGAAAAGCCCAACCCATGAAAGATTCACAGGGGACCAAAACCTCATCAGATGGGTGCAGTCAAGTTTCCCTCACAACATGACCAAAGTGATAGACTCTCAGATGCTAGACCTCATGCACTATCTGCCCAATGAAGACCCAAGAACCATCCCAGAACTAGAACGTAATTGCTTGATCTCAATTCTGGAGGTTGGCCTCTCTTGCAGTTGTGCCTTGCCTGATGCCCGCATTAGCCTGAGGGAAGCCCTTTACAAACTGGAAACTGCTAGACACACCCTTTTCAGTCTTGGTCACGTGGAGAGTGTTAGGCATTAACTTTAACAACAATTGCATGTTGTTGAATGTAGAAATTACAATAAGTTAACAGTTTGGATAGTGAAATTGGCTATAAAGCCTGAACTTTTGGGTTTAATTTTGATTATGGGTATAGTAGTTCTGTGAATTGTTTAAATTAGGGCTTATTAATGTTTTGTCAATGGGGGATTAGGTTTACCGTGAATAATGGGTTGTTGTCAAATAACATCACAAGAACTCTTCCTAAAAATCTCAGTCACTTGACAAATCTTCGAGTGTTGAATATGCACGAAACAATCTCCGTGGACCAATCCAGCCTTCCCTTCTATCTATTGATTCTCTTGACTTGCGGGCTATACTATTTAAATAATATATTTGAACGGTATAATAGCTTGGCTATATTATTTTGTTAAAATTAATGCACACTTGTGTCTTGAATAATATAGAATAATCTAGAAAAATTGAGAGAAGTTGAAAAGTTAAAGTCACTAGAAACAACCTACTAATTATATAATATATTACAACTAGAGAAATCTAGAATTAGAAGACAACTTGTGGCTGAAAATGACTTTGAAAAAGTTAATTACTATGCAACCGACTTGTCCAAAGCAAAGTTGCCGACTTATTATTACTATAAATAAGCCTATAGCCTCTCAATGTAATCAAGCTAAAAAACTACAGCTGTCCAACTCTAGCCATCAGCAAACTCAAGTATTATAGCCTTGTACCTACCTGTTTCAATCAATATAATAAAACTACTTCATTATTCTTTCAAAAAATTTCCTTTCCAAGTTAAGCTATTGTCTTAAACACTACCAACCATTCTCTAAACCTCTTCTCCCTTAAACTAACATATTTAAATAATATAGTCGCACGGTTGTATTCGAATATATTTATGTCAGCTATATCTGAAAAGCTTTCTCCCTTGCTGTGAAAATGTTGGCGTTGAACTCTCCGAGTATTAGGGTTTACAAACAATGCATGTGAGATTTCAGATTTTTTTTCACTCTCACTGTGTTGAGCAAGACGAAAATGGGTCTCTGCTCTCTCTCTCTCTCCCCCTCCCCCTATGTTGTGTCCTTATATGAGAAGAAGACGTTTGTCAGCTGTAAGCAATTCATCCCCTTTCGGGGCTTATAAAAATAGCCCATATAAAATGGGCCAACTTGACCCGACCTTATTGTTGGGTCGTTGACCATGGCCCAATAGCTGACCTCATAAATAATTTTCGTATAAAAAACACTTATAGTAAAACGGTGCGTTTTCAAAGATTCCTTCAGACAGATTAAGAATGACCATTTTTCCTTTTTGTATTTGGAAAGTATGGTGTGTTTAATAATCAGGAATTGGAATTCTCATAGGAATTAAATTTCACTTATGGAGAATTCATGCGTTTACTTCATATCAAGGAATTGAAAAATAAGTGGGGCCCACACAAAATTAGGATTTGAATTCCTAATTTTGGAGTAATTCAATTCTTGAGTGGGAGGTGGTATTCTAATTTCTGGAGAATTCACCTATTAGGAATTCATCTTTTTTACCCATTATATCCTCACACAATTTTCAAAATTCCAAATATGTCATCTACTTTAACCCAATAATGAGGATATTTTAATAATTAGCACTACTCCTACCCCAATTTCATATGGTTTAGTAAATAACTTCATTAGGAATCCGGAATCTAATTCTCCTAAATCCAACTCCCCCTCAATTCAATTCCTCCTAATCCAATTACGAATTAATAAACATGCCATTAAAGTAATGGGAATGCGTGGGGATTAGGTGAAAGTAAAAGGGTTACCACTTGTCTAACAGGGAAAATAAAATAAAATTAGCACTTAAATAAACTATAACATTAAGGTTTGAATTTAAATTAGTAGTTGTAGACTTGTAGTAAAGAAGAAATTATTATAATTTTCTTTCAATGATACTATTTGTAGCACCTATCTTTCCTCTCCGATTACAAGTCTCATCTTCAATTCTAGTCTTGAAGTTGATTGGAGAGAAAATAATGTAATATTATACAAAAGGTAAATTAGTCAAAATAAAACAGCTTTTTAAAAAAAGATAACTAAACACCTTTCCTTCAATAATTGAAGCTTAAACATGTTTATTCAATGGCTAACTAAACCTACAATTAAACTTTTGTTTTTTACTTTTATAAGAAATAACTTTATTTTTCTTTTATATTTCAAAAACTCTCTTACGTGACGTTATTGACATGAGTGTAAATAATATTTTAAATTGAAAAGTCTTCCCCCAACATTAATGCGCTTTGTTGCCACTTGTAGGTTTGTGAAAAGTTTGTCTTTTAGGTTTACGTGCGTCGAACAAGTTTGGGTATATCTTTCCCTTAGACTTGTTCCAGTCATAGAAATCACCATTTCCCATTTCTCTTTAGGCTGCAACCATCATTTCAAAGGGGAGGGGATGGAGTGGCGATGGGTCACAATTGGGGAGCATTTTTGCTCACCACTTTAACCATAGGTGTACCATCATTACCATCCTCAATGCTTGACACATGTCCATAGGTGTAATCATGATTCCATAAATACTAGGCAAAAGTTAACTATAGTTATATCTATGGACACGTGTCAAGCATTGAGGATGGTGGTTAGGGTACACCTATGGTTAAAGTAGTGAGCAAAAATGCACCCCACAGATAAAACGATACGAAGGAGAAAATGAACCCAACACAACCCACTCGAGATTTTTTTTGTCTTGTTTACCAAACAAATTAAACAAAAGCTGCTAGTGGAACACAAAAGCTTATAAATATCACATCACCTATTCGATTCCCAAGACTTGTAAAACAGAAACAAACCAAGAGAAGAGATGTGGGCTACCTGTATTTCTTGTATTCATATTTGTGAGCGTTGAGTCAAAATTCAAGTTCAACGTTGGACAACCAGAAATGACGTAGCATATATACAGTACCTACCAACCTAGGATTCGGGCTTATAAATTTGCCTTATTCCATCAGAGTTCAAAAACAGAAAAAGAAAACAGAAACCTAAGAGATATGGTTTCCCAATTCCATCTATTGCCCCAAACATTTGCCATAATATTCTCTCTTCTTGTATGCATATTTGTGAGCGTTGAGCCAGCCATACCAACGCCAAGCATTGCCACGGACAAGGAGGCTTTGATCTCATTCAAGTCAGGGGTCAGTCTTCCTCCATCTTTTTGGGACCAAAATTCATCTCCATGTACCAACTGGACTGGAGTTGTTTGCAACAAACTTGGCAACAGAGTTGTTGCTCTTCATCTTTCCGGCTTGGGACTTACAGGCTCCATTAGCCCCCATATTGGTAACCTCTCCTTCCTCCGTTCCCTTCAACTTCAAAACAACAAATTAACAGGAAACATTCCCTCTCAAATTCTCCACCTTTTCCGCTTGACATCTCTAAACTTGAGCTCCAACACCATACAAGGTCCCCTGCCATCAAACCTGACCCAACTGACTGCCCTCCAAACACTTGACTTGGCCTCAAATAACATCACAGGAACACTTCCTGAAAATCTCGACAGCTTGAAAAATCTTCAAGTCTTGAATTTGGCACGAAACAATCTCCATGGTCCAATCCCAACATCCATAAGCAACCTCTCTTCCACCCTCACACATTTGAACTTAGGCACAAATAGTCTCAGTGGTACGATACCCAGTGAATTGGGTTTCCTTTACAAACTCAAGGAACTTGATCTTGCAGGTAACCAACTCACTGGGACTGTTTCCCTGTCCATATACAACATCTCTTCTCTAGTTCTCTTCACTGTAGCTTCAAACCAACTGTGGGGTGAGATTCCAAGCAATATTGGTCACACACTTCCAAATCTTCAATATTTTAGAAATTGTTTTAATCTGTTCACTGGAAAAATTCCAGTGTCTTTGCACAATATCTCAGGCATTCGATCAATTCGAATGTCCAACAACTTTCTTGAAGGAACGGTTCCACCAGGCCTAGGGAATTTGCCATTCCTTGAAATGTACAACATTGGTTTCAATCGGATTGTTAGCTACGGTGGTGATGGTCTCAGTTTCATCACTTCCTTAACAAACAGCACCCGTCTCCAATTCCTTGCCATTGATGGTAATCATTTAGAGGGTGTAATTCCAGAGTCCATTGGAAACCTCTCCAGGGTTCTCGAAAAATTGTACATGGGAGGGAACCGCATTTTCGGTCACATACCCTCTTCAATTGGTCAACTCAGTAGCTTGACTTTGCTTAATGTAAGCTACAATTCGATCTCTGGCGAAATCCCACCTGAAATAGGCCAGCTGGAAGAATTGCAAGTGCTTAGTTTAGCTGCAAACAAAATGTCTGGTCATATTACAAACTCCTTAGGTAATCTCAGAAAGCTGAACAACATTGATTTATCCAGAAATTCCTTTGTTGGCCATATACACCGTTCCTTTGCAAACTTTCAGAAGTTGCTTTCCATGGACTTATCCAACAATTTGCTCAATGGAAGCATTTCTACAGAAATATTTCAAAACCTCCCTAGTCTGAGCACCATTCTGAATTTGTCTAACAACTTTCTGAGTGGTCCTTTGCCTGAAGAAATTGGGCTCCTAGGAAGTGTGGTCACTATAGACCTCTCAGACAACCGCTTGTCTGGATTGATCCCCAACACAATTGGAAAGTGTACAAGCTTGGAGGGATTGTTGATGGCTAGAAATAAACTCTCTGGTCCTCTCCCTAATGTTCTTGGAGATATGAGAGGTCTTGAGATTCTAGACCTCTCCTCAAACCAGCTTTCTGGGTCCATTCCTGACAAACTTGAAGACCTACAGGTCCTGAGCTACTTGAACCTCTCCTTTAATCACTTGGAAGGAGTAATTCCTAATGGTGGAATCTTTGTTAAAAATAGCTCTAGTGTCCATCTTGAAGGCAACCCAAAGCTTTGCCTGCATTCGTCATGTGTGACTCCTGGCGGTCATAGGAGAAAAGTACTGATCCCTGTTCTTATTTCAACTGTTTTGGCAACATTGGCAGTATGTGTCATAGTTGGTAGTTTGCTCTATGTCAGCAAAAGCAAACCAGGAGTTACAGAAACTAATTCTGATTTGTTAATAAAAGGGCAGCATCAAATGGTCACATATGAAGGGCTACGTGGCGCAACTGGGAATTTTAGCCCGGAAAATTGGATTGGAAGCGGGAGCTTTGGGTCTGTATACAGAGGGTGCCTAAGAGATGGAATTGAAGTAGCAGTGAAGGTGCTTGATATAAAAAGGACAGGATCATGGAAGAGTTTTTTGGCAGAGTGTGAGGCCTTGAGGAGCGTGAGGCATCGCAATCTTGTCAAACTG